AAGAGGTGTGAGTGCGGTTGCTGGGTGACATAAACGTTAGTTCCCCTCTGGGTCACGCTTGAGGTAGCGTGTACCGTAGCGCGGAACGTCAGAAAGTGTGAATACCTGTGATCAGTTCGAGTAGCGTGGGTCTCATGCATCATGAGGGTCGCACTTCCCGCCCGAGGAGTTAGCGGGATCCCGCAGCCGGTACCTTTACGAAGCGGTGCTCTCTTACTCTGCTGGTGCCACCATGTGCTGTGAGGATGTGCTCTTGAGAGACTGCTACTACCAGGATATAAGAACACTGTGCCACGCTGCTGTGTCCTGGATGCCATGTTGTGGGTCGATGTTTATCACGTGTTATATACATAAAAGGCTTTTATCGTGTGATTTATTTTGTGCTAGTCAGTGTGTGAATTGAGCAGTTTCTCCTGACGGGATATACAAATAAGGTTGAAACAAATGTTTGGTGATTATGGAAAAAGAAACATGATGATAAATCCAATATATGAGAGCCTTAATGACTTCGACACTCCTGTGATTGATATCCACTCCCTTTCTCCGGGTACCAGACCGTTCTTCCTCCATGTAAGAAAGTGTCATGAACCCGATTCCCTGCCAGGAAATGATAAGTTGAGTAATCAGTTTTTCAGCTTTCCCCACAAAGAAAACTCATCCTATCTTCCCTCAACCACATTGTCTGATGAATCTTCTTCATCAGCGCAAGAGAACCTCCAGCATGTTCCTCCTGCAGTAGCAGCGACTAATGGAGCCCCTTTCTGCTTGATGGCAGATTATACAAATGTACCAGTTCCACGTCCATGCTTCGAGTTCCATGGAAATTACCACGTCTCTTCTGTACCTAGACCAGATACTCCTACTTTCTCTGCTAAAAGTTTATGCGAAAGTCTGTACTCTGTTCCCTACATTTTTCGGTTTGCAAATCTCACTCTGCCAGGTATAGTCGTGAAAGACCCTGAAACAGAGTGTATGAAAATCAGTAAGGAACCTCCGACTCTTCCTCTTCCGAATGACGTATCGTCTGAAGTCTTAGACGAAAACTGGAAGATGCAAAACAAGATATTAATGGACTCCAACAAGAGCCCTCCAGGAAGTCCAGCGACCAAGTGCCTGCCTTTACTATCATCAGAATATGAGTGTTCAGTTGCATTTAGAAGACACCCATGTCCTCAGCTTTCTTGTGAAGATAACCAAATGTATGGAAAAAATCCAAGCATCACTACTGAAGCTCCTCCCAACATGACAGGAAAGATTAGATGCGAGTGGTGTGGGAATGAAATGAGCAGCTATGATAATTTTAATGTCGTGAGACAGGAGTTAACGAATTTAGAAAACTTCATTAACAGTTGTCGGCATGAAGGTGAGGCTAGATATGAAAACAGAAATCTCCGTGATTTCTCAGAGATTACAATAGCCAATAAACCTGGTGCACTCAAGCCTAGTCTACCAAAATACTGGTTCACCGGAGACTCAAGATGGAAGTGGACACCTACTTGTGGCTTAGAATACGATAATTGGGAGGACAATCACCTTACAGAAGACAGTTTCAACGATGAGTTCATCAGTATTTACAGAACCATTGATTCTTTTCGTAGAAATCGAGACGACGAAAGCTTAGCCTGTAGCCAGGACCCAAGTTGGAGCGACGTTAGTGAAGACTCTAGCCAGGAATTCAGCTGGAGTGACTCTGGCATTGAATCTAATCAAGACCATAGCGTAGGCGATGCTGGCGAGGGACTGGATGAGGACATTAGCTGGAATGAAGCGAGGGTTGAAGCAGAACATTCTTCCAGTCGGAATGAAGAGGGCTGTGTATCGAGATGCTTTTCCACATGGAATGCAGCAAATAGTGGCTCTGAATGCTCTTCCAGTTGGAATGAAACGAACAGTGGATCCGAACACTGTGCCAGTTGGAATGAGGCGAGCGGTGGATCCGACCATTTCCCCAGTTGGAATGAAATCAGGGCTGGTACTATGAGTCATCTAAGATTGGAACTTCGACCAGAAAAGAGCCTAGGATCGGAGCACATAAGGAATTCAAACTGGTGTCTGGCCCGTTACTTATGGCATCGTGAGCTACTCCAGCTAAGTCCCATGTCTGCACCAGTATCTCAGGTAAGCCCTTGCCTCCCCACACAAGACAGGTAATTAGCAGTATCTCAGGTGAGCTCGCGTATCATCCCCCACAGACAAGTAATTAACAAGTGTCATTTTTAGTTTTGAGACCAAACTCATTTCTCCTCTTGACAGCTTGTATTAGGGTCTCTCATTTTGTATCTAATTATATTGAAAGCCTATCGACTACACAAAGCTCCTTCATTAAAGAATGTATCATACGGGTGTTACAAATATTTTATTATTGTGTATTTATAGGAGAGTGTAAACCACTAGGGGCCATTGAGAGCCAGGGGCATGTAAGGTAGTTAGGTTTGATCCTTGGAACAAGAGACTTTCACCAGCTTCTATGCCCCTTCTCTGAAGGGTATTGCTGCATATTTGTTGCAAATTATCATACAAAGTACGAAAAAATACGTAGACTAGTATACAACGCGTTTTGAGCACCACTCATCCAAATAATTTGCATAATTTACTTTTAAATATTATTAGACAGTAAATTTTATTATGAGTGAGAAAGCGAGAGATTTTACACGAGTCCATGACTACGATGACTTACTGATCGGGCCAAAGGTTTCACAGGAAACTTTCTACAAAATTGAGATAAATTGCCGTAGTTCAGATATTTTTAAGGGCACGTCGTTACTAAAATTTAGTGTAACGTGAAGTATGAAAACTCTTGAGTGGCAGTGCTTAACTGCCGTAGCCCTTGTAAATACAGTGTTTTAGTTTAATGTATATATCGATACAGTGGAATACCTTCTTCCAGGTATTACGGATATAACTAACTTTCCAGTCACACACTCGAGGTTTCTCAGGCATGATAGTCATGCAAAACACAAAGGACGTGAGATTGAGAAATAAGGGCGTGAGACGGAAAAATGCTTGTCTTTTAGCAATGTAGGGCAAAATCTGTGAAAAGTTTAGCTTGTAAGATGAAGTCTATATCGGGATTAGTGTTAAAAAGCGCTTATAACCAAATAATGGATGTTGTACAGATGGCTTTCGTTCTATTAGTGCTGGGTAGAAGTTTTTCGTGACACACCCAGAAAAATAGAATATTGGAGAAGGGACTGAATATATGGAGAGGATATATCATGGGATGACAACGGGAGGAGGAGTATGGCAGTTGTGCATTAGGGAATTCTACAGGAGTTAACACCAGGCTAGGGTGTATAATTGTGGTGTAAGGAGACGTTGTAGTGGAGCTGACACCAGATCAGGGCATAGGGTGGTACATTAGGGACTGCTGTGAGGTTGATACCAGCTCAAGATGTGTGAAGATGTAATTGTTGGGTTGACGCCAGTCAGGGTATATTGTGGTTGTTTATTAGTAGTTTGCAAGGGTAGTACACCTGCCCATGACGACATTATGTTGGAAAGGAGGTTGTTTGTAAGTCATAAAACAAATCAGTCTGACGAGAATATTCAGTAAAGTTTTTGGTCTGTGCTGTATTACTATCCAACTTAACATTAACATTTTTTCATGAATGAAATTTTTTGCTTCTGTTTCGTCTGTCCCACTTTGTGAGATGTACACTGCGTGGTGCTGCAATGATAAAGGCAGTGTGATCGTGCCACTACATATATATATATATATATATATATATATATATATATATATATATATATATATATATATATATATATATATATATATATATATATATATATATATATTATTATAAGGCATGATTAACGTGACTAGCAAATTATTGTTAAAATAAGTTATTTTTTATTTTAGTTTTTAACTCAATTTGTTAAACTATCTTAATACCTGTTTAAAAAGTTTTTTTTTTTTTCTAAATACATGTTCCTTTCCACTGTATCCTCACGAGCATCACTGAGAAGAGGCACATACAGGAGGTCACCATCTTACGAACGCCTCAAGTTACAAATATCCACATTTACCAACGAGATTCTTAGGAATCAATTATATTTTTTTTATCACAGCTAATCCACGATACAAACTAATGTGAAACATGACCATCTTTTATGGATATATTATTTTTTTGTACAAACTATAATGATAGGCTATTGGCTCCTGAGGCAGCATGAATCACATTGATGCAACTCTGTTGTATTAGCTAATATTTTGTGTATGTTATTCTAATGACCATACCTAACCCTGTCTGATCAAGTTTATTCTATCCTTCCCTATCCTGGCCCCACAAATCACTCACCTAAACATCCTGTTTGTGTGTTTATATATATAATGTATATATATATATATATATATATATATATATATATATTATATATATATATATATATATATATATATATATATATATATATAATGTGATTTTTGCCCCATAAAATTTTTCTGCACTTCAACAATTTTCTTATTTTTTTCATTTTCTATAAAATTCCATCTCAATAACTGTACAATATTTTTCATTTTCATTGTTGCTATTCTTGTTTCCACAATGCATTTAATATCATCGATCGCATCATTTATTTTTTTCAAATATTTTGACTGCTTCTCATTACCAACTGACATCTGTCTCAATTTTTATTTGCGGACTGTTTTTCCATTCTGCTTTTGACTTCCTCCAATATATTTTTTTGTAATATATGCCATCTTTTCACGTCTCCCTGTATCAATAACGCCAAACATTGTTTATTTCCCATTGCTTTTATATGCTTTTGCTGTTTATACAAACTGCTCTTTTTTAACTGCCTCTTTCATAACTGTACTGTACATACCTTTTATCTTGTATATAACACATGCTTAATTGTGCTCTTCTCCGTGTGCCTGTCCTCTGTATGCTAAATCCTTCCATTAAACTATCTGCTACTCACCATCTAAACTACCAACTGGCCTTGTTAAAAAACACCGCCCATACCCATGAGTGTCCTGCCCCGCCCTCACTGCACAGAGAGACCGAGAACGTGGCAGAAGAGTAGTAGCAAGGAACCCACGTCGGCTATTCTCTGGTATAGAGGAGGCGGCAGTGGCCCACGCTCGCACCGTCGTCGAGCTGATCAACGATATCGCCGCCACCCACGACTCAGATGCCTTCATAGCAGGGGACTATATCCTCCAGATTCAGGTGTGTGTGTGCAGGTCAAACACACCGGTACCCCCATAATCTATAGCCAAAAGAAAACAGTAATGAAAAGTTTGTTCATTTGTCTAAATTTGCTTCAAGATGCTTTTAAATTTTTTTCTCATGATTTACACGCAGAGATTTGGTTAAAGATTAAATTTGAAAGCTGTATATTGTACAGTATTGTAAACCATTGAATTCTGTGTTATTTGATGGATTTTAAGATAATTATTACTTTAGTTGATACTTTATCCCGGGCGGATGCTGCCTCTTATACCACTTGGTGTGCTTCCTCATACCTTTCCTACTGTTTGACCTGCACGACACAAGACACGTAGTTCCTCATCCAACATGACTTCTCTCTCTCTCACCTGCTGATTTATTACAGTGAATGGGCATTTAGCAGGTGAATAGTGTGAGAAGGTTTTATATACACATTTTGACAAAGCTGTGTTACACAGAAACTGCCTTTGAGAATGGAAATTAATTGTGTTCCCAAAGAATTTGTATGTGCTTATATTCATGGATTCACGAGCTAATCTAATGAGTAAAATATATAGCATGAATATGATATGAGTTGGAATTAAGACCTATTATTGGTTTCATAAATGCAATAATAGGTGCATGTTTCTTGTCCTAATTAGTAAAGGTGGAAAATAAAAATTGGCGAAGAGCTCTATTCGTCCCTTTAGAAACTGAGAAGCGAAAGGACGTTATCCTTTGCACATGTAAAAAAAAAAAAACAGGCTCAGTGCCCTAATTGTTGTAGAAAATGTGAAAGTATGTTTTCTCTCAACAGGTTTCTCATGAATAGCACCAAGATTCATCATACACTCGTCTACTCTCCCTTGCTTTACCCTGGCATCCCTCTCCCCCACATCTCCCTGTCCCACTCCGATTCCCAGCTTCCATGACTGAGACTCCATCCACTCTTCCACTACGACATCAACTATTTTCGATATTTTATTATGAGACTAAATGTTTTTTTTTTTTTACACGAACTCCTACTTTTTTTTCTGGAGGACGTTGCGTTCACATTGAATCTTTGCGAAGGATTGTAACTTTTCGCCATTTGTCGTGGATGGAGTGCCGCAGAGCTGCCAATATGAGGGGATGGGTTTGTTGAAATACCGTGCAGTATAGACGAAATGGCCTGCTACCGGGTATGTAGAACAAGACAAGTTGCAGAATAAGTTTTTATGAGGATACTGTATTGCTCTGTGTAGAACTGTTATCATGTAATCTCTATCATTACTTGATAAGGTTTTACACAGAGCAGATCGTTGCCCCAATAAAAATATATTTCTGGAAGTTGTTCTCATTCTTCACGCCATGAAAACAAGAAAATGTGTGAAGAATTGGACACACATGCAACATCTGGGTATCTTCATTTGTAGACGTTTCGCCCTCCAGTGGCTTTATCAATACAAATTCGAGGACATGATGGGAAAGACTGTAGAACTATATACAAAAGACTCGGTAATCAGTCCCTCAGCTTTGGAATTGGTGAAGAGCACCGCAATCCTGAAGAATCTGAAGCACAGGCATAAAGCCACTGGATGGCGAAACGTCTACAAATAAAGATACACAGATGTTGCATGTGTGTCTAATTCTTCATCTTGTCGGCATTGCATACCATTTATGTACAAGAAAATGTATGCATTGTTATTCATTCAACAGTATTTACAGTCTGCTTAGTACTTTGATGACAGTATACTGCAGGGCTTTCAAAGTGAGGGATGGCATTCTTCGACAAGACATTCAGATACTGTATTGCGACGTATATGGTTTTCATCATTTTGGCAGCTCTAGACTGAACTGACTGTTTATGGCGTCCTCGATGGCCACCTACCCCATCCCCTCAAAAATGCCCCGGCGCGCCCTATTCCCTCCCCCTCACCAGTGTCTAACGCGGCCCTCTCTACTCTCCCTGATACAGCGCCGCCCTGGCTACCATCGCTTCTACAATGAGCAACTCTTTTCCCGACAGATCCAGCACGCCGTGGCTACTCTGAAGCAGGTACAGTGCCGCACCTGGGTCTTAGGTGCGCGGGGCTTGCTCAAGACCCCCCCAAGTTGTTACCAAAGGAACCTCTGAGATACTGGCCTGTAATTCCTAGGATTCCTACCCAGGATATCTTGATTCGGAAATTTGTTTTAAGAATTACATGGTAGAATACTGTTCAAAAATTCCCTAAGTTAAGTGGCACTGGGTTAATTTGAATCCGAGCGTCTGCTGAAATTGTGACTAAATATTCATTAAAATTATTCTTTTTTTTTATGCCATGATAAAGGTTTAGTTCTTAGAAAATATCCCTACTGGGTCTTTTTCTTCCCCTTGTAAATCCTCATCGTGGTCAAGATAGCCATTTGTCAAATATCTTTTGACTTGTACAGTATATATATTGTAAGGTTGTAATATGCAGTTTTTTTTTTTCATATTTTTTAACAGTTAATAAAATTAAATGCTTCCAACCGAAAGTCAATATTGTAGAGTACGTTGAATGTAGGAGAAAGTTTTTCACCATGTATATCAATTTTTTTGCTAGATGAATGTATGGTTTGATAGCACAATAGACCTTATGCCACTATGATCCCACAATTTGAGTAATTCTAAGCAAATAAAACAATCTGAATCTGTTTTATTGACATCACTGTTAAGGAGTGTTATTGAATCGTTTGTAAATATAGCTCATTCAGATATTTTATAAATTAATAAGGTAATCCCTGAGATCTTTCAAAAGCCACAGACATTGGTGACTTTTCATTGCTCTCTTTCACTCTCTCCTCCCTGTGGTTGGAGTCTAGGTAGGGAAAGTATCTATTTGGTCCTGTACTTGGTGGGTGCAGTCCCAGGTGGGCCCGTGCACTACTGGCCCAGGGTGCTCCTGACCCTGTCTGTGCTCAACTTGATGGTCCCTCCTCCGATATCCCTGGGACTCAGTGGTGACGTCAGAGTACATTTATTTCTGTCCTTAGTTTTATCTTCGTTTATGATTTTGGAACTCGGGCAGTAGGGCGTGATCCTACTACGTGTGCCCCCCGTGTCCCAGGTCGCCGCGCCCCTGACGACCAGGGCGTGGGCGCCACACTCCTGTGTACCGTCATCCCCTAAACCCTATCTCCGGACGTTCAGGGCTACCCCGTTTCATGGATTTTTTTTTTTCCTTCAACATTTTATTACCCTTGTACTAGTGTGCATATATTCTGAGAAACAGAGAAATACATTTTTGATTCATCAATATGTATCAATGTGACTGGATATATGTACACTTTTAGATGTTTAGGGATGCAGGTAAAAAATAATTATACACAGGATTATGCAGTTCAACTGTGGAGATATACCTCTTGTGTGTTGTGCTGTGTTGTCTTGCTGGAAATTTAGAGTTGCTTCTGTAAAGAGTTTTGTATTGTAAAAATGAACACTATTTGTACTTTACTGTGAATGTATTTGCTGGTAAAATATAAAGGGGCTATTAAAGCTACTTTTTTTCTACCTGATCATAAATGTGGTAAGAGCATTAGTGCTCCTGCCTGCTTCCTTCAGCCAAAGATTCCTCACATTCAGTAAAGTCGCTTCTTCAGCCACTTGAACTGGGCATGAGAATGTATTACTATGTGACCTTTATAAACTTGGTGGCATGTACCCTCCCCCAAGTAGTTCCCAACACCCCAAGACCCTCCACCTCCCTCTGGTTGCAGGCGGTGGAGAAGTTCAGCGCCAACACACAGGAGATCAGTGCCTCGCTGAGAGCCTTCACCCAGAAGCTGCAGGAGACCGAATTCCCCAACGATGTCGCTTCTACGGAGGAACTTCTTCGTTCACAGGTGGGGGGACTCTTCGTTTTTTTCTTTTTTTCATGAATCATAATCAAGTAAATTTATTTAGGTATAAGTGCACTTAATTATCATTCAAGGTGATCCGTAGCTAGGTTGCTTGCAAGGGCACTCAGCTCACACACTGAGATCCGTGGTTCGGTCACCGGTACGGGTGGAAATATTTAAGATGTGTTTCCTTAAGATACCTGCTGTCCATGCTCACCTAACAGTAAAATAGGTACAGTGGTCCCTCAATAATCGTCCATAATCCATTCCTGGAAGTGGGACTATTATCAAAATGGACGATTTACGAATCAATTTTCCCCATAAGAAATAATGTAAATTCAATTAATCCGTTCCTGACACCCAGAAGTATTAAAACAAAAAATTTTTTTACATGAAATATAGATGTAGTACATAAACAATACAGTGGCACATGATGAATTAAACATTAACAGAATAACACTTACCTTTATTGGCAATTCTTCTTTGTGTATGGAAGACTGGAGAAGGAGACAGATTGGATGATTTACTGTTTGGAAGGGGAATTCCCTTCCATCAACACCTCGGGTACCAATTGCTTTTCTGGGGTTACTTCTCTTCTCTGTTTCTTAATGCCAGTAATGTAGGTCCTCTTTGGCATTTTCTTCTGTTTCATCACAATTGAACACTTGTTCAGGTTTCAGTCCTTCACTGTTTATGTACTCCTTGAATTCATGCGCATATTTTTCAACCGCCTTGTGGTCCGAACTGGCAGCCTCACCATGCCTTACCACACTGTGTATGCCAGTACGCTTATTAAATCTCTCAAACCAGCCTTTGCTGGCCTTAAATTCACTCACATCGCCACTAGTTGCAGGCAATTTCTTTACCAAATCGTCATGCAACTGCCTAGCCTTTTCACAAATAAGCGACGTCATAAGACTATCTCCTGCTAATTGTTTCTCATTTATCCACACCAATAATAACTTCTCAACATCTTCGAGTACTGGTGATCTCATTTTTGTCAGCATATTTACCCCCTTTGCAACAACAGCATCCTTGATTTCCTTTTTCTTGGCTATGATGGAAGTTATGGTTGTATGGGAGTTGTTATACATCCTCGCCAGTTCGCCCACACGTACGCCACTTTCATATTGTTCAATGATGTTTTTCTTAAATTCAATCGTATTTCTCACCTTCTTTACCAAAGGCTTGGCACTAGGAGCTTTCTTTGGAGCCATGGTAGCTTATTTAGCACTTAAATAACTTGCAAGCACTAAAATAAATGGAATATTATGAAATATTTCGCTGGAGCACGTGAGGGGACCTTCGCTCACTGGTAAACAATGGCACACTGGCTGGGAAGGAAAGGCCGAGGTGGCTCAGAGCGTGAGTACGCGTCCGGGACGAAGGACTATTAGCGAGTTACCGGACCATTTGCAAGCCAATATTTTGACGAAAAAACAGGACTATTTCCGAAATGGACGACTTTCAGTCCGGACGATTATTGAGGGACCACTGTATCTGGGTGTTAGTCGACTGGTGTGGGTCGCATCCTGGGGACAGAATTGAGCTAATTTGCCCGAAATACTCAACATATCATGGGGATTTTTATATAGTAGTATGTCATTGATGTCAGGTAGGCCTATCTTGTAAATGTCTGGTAGAAATAAAGATTTTTAATATTATTTGTGTTTTTTCCCATCACTGTTATTGTGCCCTTTTTATCTTTAACAGTAAAGTCTACACCAAACTTTTTGCCCTTATTGGGGAGACTTCAACATCAACCTTGGGCAACAGATATCACCTGAAAATGATTTCATCCAAAATATGAACAACACACTTCTCATCCAACAAAAACTAAACCAACCAGGCTCACTGAAACAAGTGAACCCATAATAGACCAATAGGACCAATATACTAGCCCCCCTTAAATCGGGGATAATCCGAAGCCTACAACCCTACCCTACCTTCCTCTTGGAAAATTTTATAAACCACCACTAAATAAAAAAATTTTCATTTAGACTTCATGATGAGGCCTTTATAAGGAAGTTCACACTGACCTAGAGCTGTTGACGGGCCTACAAATTCCCAGGCAAGGTATTGATGAGGGCAGACATTTTTCTTAAAAAATTTCTTAACTATACAAAAAAACATTGTCATAAAAACGAAAAGATCACAAACAAACGCTTGGTTGCCCATGGCAAACCCCACACCCCTAAAACCCATTGAAAAGAAACCCATAAAAAAGCAATTGACAGGGTTTAAATACACAAAAAAAATCCTAAACCTATTCACAGTCCTCACCAAAAATAAAGAAAGCCAAACAACTTACTACCCAGTAGATTCACTGACACAAGGGAGATATAAAAAAAACCCGGGAAAAAACGAAAAAAAACCCCAAAAATATTTTTCCTAACTAAACCTAATGAAACACCCCCTGCTCCCACTGACACAGCTAACAAGAAAAGACTTCTTTTTAACCATAGGTTCTAATCCGCCAAAAAAAATCCCATTACCCAATGCCCCGCCGGGATACCTAGATGGAATTTCCCAAATTCCTTCTTTCTTGCCCCCAACTGGCCTACGGAAGTCACCGAGATTAAAAGTCACTTAAAAAATAACTAGGAATTGTCTCATTTTCCCACCATTATTTACAAGAGAGGGCCATGCCTCTCGCTGCTATTCTTTACTTTTTAAAATTCCTAGAAACTAGCCCCCTTCCCGAAAAATCAAGACGCAAGGGTTCACCAATACATAAGGGGGTGACCCTACAGATTTAAAAACTTAGCCCAAATAAAAACTTTCCATTTTCCAAAATCTTGAAAAATCTGCACGGGGGACTTTTTCATTTAAAAGGGCACAAAATACTAACCCTGCCAATTTGGTTTCAGGAAAAAAAAAGCAAAACGATGCAATAAAAAAAATGCTGATTGTTTACACAGCTTTGGAAAAAAAGGTATCCACTAGGAAATTTTTATTGACAAGAAAAGTTTTTGAGACAGTACCCCACGGACCCTACCCCAAACTTGACCATTATGGTAAAGGGCCCACCCTTTTGCATATTTCAAATTTACCTTTAATGGGTATCAAATGTCCCTTTAAAGACCAACATCAACAACACCCCATGATAGGGGATTCCACGGGAAGTGTCCTTGGCCCCCTGCTCTTCCTCATTCATCTGATTTTCCAAAGTATCTCAACCCCTGAACACATTTCTTTGCTGACGACTGACTTATGTATTTCTCACCCTAATCTTGCCACCTCAACCCATTTTTAAATGAGGAGCTGATAAAAATATGTTTGGGATGAAGCCAATAAACTTATGGTTAAAAACGACAAAAAACCCACTACATTTTTTTGGTAGCAGAGCAGGGATGCGCAAATTAAATTAAAATCGAAACACTTAATTGCCAGGCATAATTTGGGGAAAATTCCAGCCTTCCCGCAAAAACTAACTTCGCACCCATATCAAACATAACCAAAAAAATATCCAAAAAGGTTGGGATCTCTCCAAGATACGATGCTTTCTGCCCAAACTCCTTTTCACCTATACCATTCATTATTATCCATACCTACCCATGCATCTGGCTTTGGGGGTTTAATGCAGCAAACACCCAAAGCCATTTAGCCAACAAAAAGCCCCGTAGAATAAAACTCAAATTCCCTGGGAACACCCCCCCCCCACCTTCATAATCTGAACTTTTCTCCCCGTTCAGTACATCCACCTTTATTGTGCCTCTAATCAAGAAACCTTAAAATTCCCAAAATTTTAAACCTTGACCAAAATGCTTTCTTTTTGGACAGAACCCACAGGACAACACCGACCAAAAATTCTAGCTTCCCGTGTCCCACTAAACCTTTCAAAAAATGTAGTCAAAGGGCCCCAAAATTTTGGAAACCCACCCAAAATTCTAAAACGCAGACACATTCTACCTTCAAAAATACCATCACAAAAATCTTTCTCCCCGATACACCCTGTAAATAAATTACATGAAAACCACTGGTGGTTAACACTTTCACCCTCACCATTTGACTATAAACAGAAAAAATCAATCTCAACTCAAAATAAGAATCTTTTAAATAGTCATAAATTTTGGGCCCTTTATACTCCAATACGAAACTATGTATAGTGCCAAAAAAAAAAGCCACATTTCTAAACCCACAAAACTAGTATTTAGTCCTTAGCCTAAAACCAAATTACCTCAAATTTTGTAATATTTTAAACTTAAATTTAATCTAATCTGCCCAAATGCCCAGCCATGCTAGGTTTCTAGTGGTACACCTGTAAAAATTTTTATTTTAACCCCATGTAAACCCACAATAACCAAAATTTTGTAAATAGCTTGAAAACCTTATAGAGAATAAACTTTGAATATGAATACATTCAACCCTTTTATTTTATTGCATTTCATGAAGTTCTAAACCTGTGTGGGGGCTATACAGCACAAGGAGTGGTGAAGAATCGAGACTCCATCCACTGATTGCAGAGTAATCTGCTGACCAGTCAGGCTGTTGTTGTCCTAATACTTCTTTATGTCTCTGCCCAGACTTGGTTCTTTGGGGTTGTGAGGACCCCCCAGAAAATATTACAAGAAAAAAATCCCCCTTGTGCCAACTCGTACAGATCAGTCTTATGTAGAAATGTTATGCCAAAAATATTGAAATCATAATTTTAAACTGCTTACCTGAGGGCATTAAAAGCTGTAATATAGTAAATAATTTTAAAAATTGCCAAGAACGCTACCTGAGAAAAGATCAGTATATATGGGCATCAATTATAGACCATCTTCGGCAGGTAAGAAACATGAAGTAGAACAAAGGAGTACATATATACCCAACAAATACAGTACATAAATTTGCATTGTAGTAACTTTTCTAAATGCAAAATATGGAGAATAGTCAGTATTATGTAGGTAAATCTGGTATGCAAAATTCACCAAAAGACTTACCTGGCTTCGAGTAGATGTTGCTCACACACTGGTCTACTTGCTTATATATAACCTGATTCTACTGAAGAGGATCTCTTGGCCAAAAATATATCAGACCTGTCTATTACATTTTTATTTTCAACCCTTGTGGGATTTACCTGTACATTATTTAAGACATTTGTTCCATAATATTATCTTTAAGTATTATAAAAAAATTTTAACCTTATTGTTGTGTCTCTTGACATAAAAACCTCAACTTGATAATAGGCCAGAGCAAATTGAAACATCAAAAATTTCCATTGCTAATTGTACATTGGTTTTTGAAGTTCCAGCCACAGAGTAGTGGCTTTTAAACTTGAAGAGTAAAAATATGCAGGCATATGATTTTTTTTCTTTGGAAACATATGGTTGCTCAAAACAGCATGCACATCAGGAGTAGTAATGCTGATCAATTCTTCATGGGTTGACACCTGAAGGTGTAGTATGCATTTTTTAAGTACTCATTTACTTGCCAACAGTGTGCTGAATACAGTGTGCTGAAGGACGACTTGTTATCCGCATCTCGACACGGAGAAACATTACTGAACTGCATCAAACGACCTGGAGAACCACGCTCTGCACGACTTTGTCCTGACAAGCTCATCAATGTAACTGCAGTGGAGCGGCTATTGGTTCAGCTGGAGGAGACGGAAAGAACCTTTGATGAATTCTGGACAAGACACGAAGGAAGGCTCACACAGTGTCTTCAGCTGAGACGCTTTGAAACAGATTTCAGAGAGCTGCAGGTGAGCCGAGTTATTGATTGTGTAATTCACTGAGTGTTTAAGTCAATATGTTATAATTTCCAAATTGGTAATCATCATCCAAATTTATATTCATAAAAAATACATGAAAAAACACTGATAGCAGACACCAACAGGTGGTTAAAAGGCACGTGAACAAACAGTAGGGCATATTTATTTAGAAATTGTTTTGTTCCTGAAACCTTGATCACTTCTCACGTATACTGGGTGGTGAACACCAGTATATGTAGGTTTAGTTATCCCTAAAAATTCATAGAGGGTTACATTCTTAGAGATCCTGCAAAGGTAAAATCTACAAATAATATACAAAATTAAAGTTTGCATAACAAATATTGTTTCAGATTTGAATTCATTTTGTATTTCAAAGAGCATATCTTTGTAATATGCCATTCTGATCTGGTTAATGTTGACACTGATAAGAAATCCACTGCATGCTAGTGGCTTTCTTTTGTACTCAACAATATTTTATAACATGTAAACTACATTTTGTATTACTGCAGAAAAAAATAATTTTTTATTATTTAAATATTAACCAGACTAAAAACAGATCTTTGGGGATAAAAAAGGCCAGCAATCTCAAAAGAAACCCTAAACAAATTAATCTGTTCATTAGTTGCCCCCTCGGAAAAAGACATTGGATAATGGAAAACTACAAATAAGCTGAAATGCACTCATACTGGTGGCTTTCTTTTGTGGCTAACAGTATGTATTACATGTGAACTACATCATCTATATATTGCATATGAAAAAGGAAGCCTGTGAAATTGTAGTGATGATTGTATGTTATTTTACTGTAACGTGTGGTTTTTATTGCATGTGAATGTCTTGCAATTCCTATTCTTTGTTTACTTTGTTAGACATGCCTGGAAGTCTCATTAAAGCAGCTCTCAGCAATGTCTGAGATCGGAGATTCAGTCATACATGTCGACCAGTTGTTAGCAGAGGCTCAAGATTTCCACATGCTCACTGCCGTAAGTGTGAGGAATATGTATATTTCTTCTTCTTTCAACAAACCCAAGCTTCACACCCATATAAGTGTGTTGGTACCACTATACTTTGCCTCCATAGATAACGTTCTTTGTCTCCACATATACCTCAACGCACCACTCACCTTTTTTCCCTCGTCAATTCTATGATTAACCTCATCCTTCATAAATAAATCTGCTGATACGTCAACTCCCAAATATCTGAAAACATTCACTTCTTCCGTACTCCTCTTCCCCAATTTGGTATCCAATTTTTCTTTATCTAAATCATTTGATACCCTCATCACTATGTTCACTTTCAACTTTCTACCTTTACACACACTCCCAAATTTATCCACTAACCTCTGCAATTTTTCTTTAGAATCACCCATAAGCACAGTATCATTAGCAAAAAGTAACTGTGTTACTTCCCATTTTGTATTCGATTCCCCATAATTTAATCCCACCCCTCTCCTGAACACCCTAGCATTTACTTCTTTTACAACCCCATCTATAAATATATTAAACAACCATGGTGACATTACACATCCCTGTCTAAGACCTACTTTTACCGGGAAGTAGTCCCCCTCTTTAATACACTCCCTAACCTGAGCCTCACTATCCTCATAAAAACTCTTTACAGCATTTAGTAACTTACCACCTATTCCATATATTTGCAACATCTGCCACAATGCCCCCCTATCCACTCTATCATATGCCTTTTCTAAATCCATAAATGCAATAAAAACTTCCCTACCTTTATCTAGATACTGTTCACATATATGCTTCAATGTAAACACCTGATCTACACATCCCCTACCTACTCTAAAACCTCCTTGCTCATCCGCAATCCTACATTTTGTCTTGCCTCTGATTCTTTCAATAATAACCCTACTGTACACTTTTCCTGGTATACTCAGTAAACTAATTCCTCTATAATTCTTACAATCTCTTTTGTCCCCCTTCCCTTTATATAAAGGGACTATACATGCTCTCTGCCAGTCCCTAGGTACCTTCCCCTCTTTCATACATTTATTAAAAAAAAATACCAACCACTCCAACACTATCATCCCCCCTGCATTTAACATTTCTGTCATGATCCCGTCATTTCCACCTGCTTTACCCCCTTTCATTCTACATAATGCCTCACGCACCTCCCCCACACTTACATCCCCATCTACTAACTCTCCTACTCTGTTTTTAACTGACAAATCCATTTGTTCCCTAGGCTTTCTTGTTTAACTCACTCCAAATTTTTTTCTTATTTTCATTAAAATTTCTTGACAGTGCCTCTCCCACTCTATCATCTGCTCTCCTTTTGCACTCTCTCACCACTCTCTTCACCTTTCTTTTACTCTCCATATACTCTACTCTTCTTACAACACTTCTGCTTTGTAAAAACCTCTCATAAGCTACCTTTTTCTCTTTTATCACACCCTTTACTTCATCATTCCACCAATCACTCCTCTTTCCTCCTGCACCCACCCTCCTATAACCACAAACTTCTGCCCCACATTCTAATACTGCATTTTTAAAACTATTCCAATCCTCTTCAACTCCCCCACTACTCATACTTGCACCAGCCCACCTTTCTGCCAATAGTTGCTTATATCTCACCCGAACTTCCTCCTCCCTTAGTTTATACACTTTCACCTCCCTCTTACTTGTTGTTGCCATTTTCCTCTTTTTCCCATCTACCTCTTACTCTAACTGTAGCTACAACTAGATAATGATCTGATATATCGGTTGCCCCTCTATAAACGTGTACATCCTGAAGCCTACCCATCAACCTTTTATCCACCAATACATAATCTAACAAACTACTTTCATTACGTGCTATATCATACCTTGTATATTTATTTATCCTCTTTTTCATAAAATATGTATTACTTATTACCAAACTCTATTTTCATTTACCCCTGGCACCCCAAATTTACTTACTACTCCCTCCACAATATTTTTACCCACTTTATCATTGAAATCCCCAACCACAAGTACTCTCACACTTGGTTCAAAACTCCCCACACATTCACTCAACATTTCCCAAAATCTCTCTCTCTCCTCTACACTTCTCTCTTCTCCAGGTGCATATATGCTTACCATAACCCACTTTCCACATCCAACCTTCATTTTACTCCACATAATCCTTGAATTAATACATGTACATTTATACTCCCTCTTTTCCTGCCATAGCTTATCCTTTAACATTATTGTTACTTCTTCTTTAGTTCTAGCTCTATTTGAAACCCCTGACCTAATCCCATTTATTCCTCTCCACTGAAAGTCTCCCACCCCCTTCAGCTTTGTTTCACTTAAAGCCAGGACATCTAGCTTCTTCTCATTCATAACATCCACAATCATCTCTTTCCTATCATTCGCACAGCATCCACGCACATTCAGACATCCCGGTTTGAAAATTTTCTTCTTATTCTTTTTAGTAATTATTACCTCCTTCTGTTTATTTCCTATATGTGGGTTCACTTGTGACAATGTCCAATGTTTATTATATACGTCTAGAGATTATTTACGTTCTTCATGCACACTATCTGCACTCAACACTTTCCTTCCTACTGTCTCTTATTTGCCAGCCTACCAACCTTGCTAGCCAGGCCATCATCCAAAATTTTTATGCAAGGTATAGTGAAGTTGCTGTGTTATGTTTGGAGCAAAATTACAAATTGGCCTAATTAAAAAAATACTTATATTATCTGTTTTCCATAGAGTGAATCTTTAGGTAATCAAGTTTTAGTTCCACACTAAATGTTTGTTCATACATTTCTTAGTTTTAATATGTTCAGTAAGGTATTTAGACTTTAACTGAGCTGTTTGTTTAGTGTATGTACAATTTATGGTTTTAAATGAGTAGTTATCAATTTCATCTTCATTCTCCTATTAATTAAAAAAAAAAAAGTGTTTGGAGTGTGAATGTAATTGTATCTTTTCACATGAGACAGGATCAACTTGAGAAGGCAGAGGAACTACGCATCATTGGCACACAACTTATTGAAAGTCAACACTACGCAGTTGACTCCATCCAGCCCAAATGTGTTGAGTTAGTAAGGATGAGAGATGCCTTCCACGACCGCATCACCAAGCGCCTTGAAACTTTACACAAATGTCGAGACCTTCAAGAACGCATCGAGAGAGTAAGCAGCTTTACAGTTCATGTTTACATTCTGGGTGGATGATGTGTAAAGAGTTTCACAAAATTCTGAATGCCTTTCTTGTCAGAGGAAAGAAGCAATTTTCTTTAACTGCCTGTATAATATTTACTTTTTATACCATATTTTTTATGTTTATTGTTTCATCCATTTCCTGTTCCTAAATATACCATATTATCTTTAGAATATAGGATATCCATCAGTTCCTTATGGATATTAGATGGGATATCCATCAGTTCTTGATGGATATCCCATCTTTAGAATAAAAAAATTTAATTCTCTAATCCTCTGATGGCAGGCCTCTACACATTCCTATATAGCAGCTGGGGACATTTTTCATACTTCTGTGATTTTTTGTGTTCAAAAATGCCATGTCAGTTTTAGCTCACATTTGCTGAATCTTGAGCTATTAAGTATGTTGCAGATGAAAAAATCTGACATTGTGTTAGTACCCATACATTAGCAGCAGCTGGAGGCTGCAGCTTGGGTATTTTCTCTTGTTTTTGATTAGCCTATGTGCAGCAAGAGCTGTTTGGAATAGAATAACATCAGCACTGTAGTATGTACATGCTTCTGGCTGGCAATAAGTAAGAGTGAATGATACTGAAAGGGCTTCTTTTTCAGGTCATTGTACCTCTGCAAGAGACGGCCAGTGTGTTAAAAAGAAAAAAATGATCATAACCACCTATTTCCAAGAAATTAGTGTTGAATGATCCCTTAAGAGTCCTTTTGATTGTGCTATCTCATTTTTTGTATAAAACATAAACAGACTGCATTACTGTGTGTTAAAAAACTGTCCCTTTGAAGTTTCCTCTTTTTTTTTTTTCAGTTTCTAACTTAATTGTTTTCATATGATCATATTAACCAATTCCAGTGTTCTTGCATATTCCTGTTATGCATTTCAGGCCAATAAATGGTGTACTGAGGGTGTGGAACTCCTGGCCTCACAACAGATTGAGAGATGTCAAGCTCCAGAGTTTGCCGAGGAGGCTTTAAGGGAGTTGGAGGACTTCATGGCATCCTCAGACCACAACCGGCTGGGCAGTTCTCGGGAACTGAAGGCAATGTTTGAAGATGTCATTACTCCTGAGACTAAGGGTCTGGTGCAACAAGTAAGATTATTTTACCTTGGTGAGAGTTGATAGTCGTTGAAAGCTTGTCAAGAAAGAAAAGATTTTGTTGTAGAATCAAGCTTTCTGACAACATTTTGATGAATGTAGAGCTTTATTGAGCTTGTAGAGCAAGACACTCTTGCAAGAAAGCTTGCTCTACACCTGTGTCTTTGCTTCACTCATGTCTGCAATATGCCTTTGTTTTCATTAAGTTTTGTAAAAGTTTGTGATTGTTACTAAATTTAAAAAGAGAAACTTTCATTTTTCTTTTTATGTCGCCCTGCTTCGGTGGGATACGGCCGGTTCATTGAAAAAATAAGAAAAATTGCATAATGCTTGTAGTGTCTTGAACTCTGTTTACTTATCAAAAAAAAAAAAAAAAAATTAGAGTATTTGAATGCTATACCATCTTTGTGTACAGTTTTTTCATTTCCGTTGTCTCTTTTATTACTCATTTACAATTTGCCCAAAGATCCAACAGAACTTTCTTAATTCTCTTTTTTTAACACATTGACTGTCTCCCACCGAGGCAGGGTGACCTGAAAAAGAAATGCTTTCACCATCATTCACACTGTCACTCTAAACAGTAAATATCCCAAGCCCCTCCTTCAGGGTGCAGGCATTGTACTGCCCACCTCCAGGACTCAAGAAATGGTATTAAAACCTACAGTGGCAGGATTGTGCAGAGAGGTAGATATTGTATATCTTTCATCCAAAATTGATCCTTTTATGTCAGCATTTGATAGCTTGCCAAAAAATTCAACGCATTTATGTTAAAAAAATATGCTTACGAGTAACACTAAGGAGGCTTCAGTGTTAAGAGGGAGAAAGTATACTGACATGATAGGGTTATCAGCTACAGCCTTTCCTCACTTAGCGACGTACTCGTTTACATAAGAACATAAGAACGAAGGAACACTGCAGAAGGCCTGCTGGCCCATGCAAGGCAGGTCCAAGTCTCCTACCGGCTTAAGCCAATGCACCCAACCTAGTCAGGTCAGGTCACATTGACTTAAGGGAGGAACACGGCAACCGACCTGGTAGCACAAGCTATCAGGTCTAACTCACACCCACCCACATCCACTCATGTATTTATCCAACCTATTTTTAAAGCTACACAACGTTCTGGCCTCTATAACGGTACTTGGGAGTTTGTTCCACTCATCCACAACTCTATTACCAAACCAGTACTTTCCTATATCCTTCCTGAATCTGAATTTTTCCAACTTAAAACCATTGCTGCGAGTCCTGTCTAGGCTAGATATTTTCAGCACACTATTTACATCCCCTTTATTTATTCCTGTCTTCCATTTATACACCTCAATCATATCCCCCCTAATTCTACGTCTTTCTAGAGAGTGCAGATTCAGGGCCCTTAGTCTATCCTCATAGGGAAGGTTTCTGATACATGGGATCAACTTTGTCATCCTCCTTTGTACATTTTCCACGCCTCGGACTTACAACGGGCTCTCTGACCAGTATGCATGCCTAAATAATGTATACTAGAACTGATTTTCTCTTTTCTGTTTATTACAATATGCAGTACACTACTGTATAAACATTTAAAAATATACCAGAAATGTTATAAATGGTGCAAAGGTGACAGTAAAACAATATCAAAGATAGCTGACACAAACCCACTACCATTATAGTGTGCTCCTCACTTAGCGACGAATTCATTTACAGTGTGGTCTTAGGAACAGAACTCCATCGTTAAGTGAGGAGAGGTTGTACTGCTAGCCCTCATCTTCCTAGCCATTGCCAATACAGAGAGAATACTGCTAGCCTCTGTCTTGATAGCTGATGACATGACAGAAAATGTCAGTAGTCTCAGTCCTGCTAGATGCACAGTTACTAAGAGAATGCCACTAGCTTCCATCTTGCTAGCTGCTTTCATTATAGAGTGAATGCTGCTAGCCTTCATCTGCTATCAGGCACTATTACAGAGAATAGTATCCTCCATCTTGCTAGCAGGCACTGTCACAGAGGCTACTGCAGTAAGATGAGTTAATCTATATTATTCAAATATTGTTTGCTGGCTTGAGTGACAAAGACACTTGTTGCTATATAAAAGTGCTTTTCCTGAGAATTATGGAAATTGCAGAAGGCTTTACCAAGTTTATTCTTGATACAACAACAGAAAGAAATGTTTAGCAATGCTCAGATTATTATAATCATAACTAAATGTTAAACCCACCAGGGTCTTACAGCGCTGAGCAACACTCAGAAAGTCACTAGATATGAACAGTTCACCGGGGTAATGGAACATTGGCATCATTTTGTTTTCTAATGGTGTTGCAGATAGCATTGTATAGTAGGACCCCCATATCCACGTGGGATAAGTTCCAAGGACCTGCCACGGATACCGAAACTGTGGATAGTAGCAAACCCTGTATATAAGTCCTGTACTATAATGACACAATTGCAAACAAGCCATGGTATGAGTGGGGATTGAATTAGCTGCGAATTCAATCCCTACCCATACTGTGGTTTGTTTTATGAGTCCTATACATACCTATTATAAAGTTTAATTGGTAAATTATGCACAATAAGTGGAGAATTATCACTTTCACTGATGGGAAGCACTTTAAGGCTTCTCTTAGACCTTGAAGAACTTCCATTATCACAACTTTTGCACTTTGGTGTCATTATTAATCAGATATAAGGGTTGTCTTTGGGTCCATGGCAAACTGCAGATAACTGAAACCACGGATACCAGAGCCGCAGATATGGGGTCCTAGTGTATACTGCATAAATTATATTATAACGAGACCAATATTGGTTGCCAACTTCCCAGGTGCTGAAGCGGATAGAAGATGTACAGATGATGTGTGAGAAACGGAAGAGTTCACTGAAGAAACTAGCAACGCGCCTGCCCCGTCCTGTTCACGCTGTGACACCAGAACCAGCCGTACCTCTTCATTACTCGCAGGGACAAAGCTCGCACCCTCACTCTCACCCAGCCTCCCCGCTACATGCTGAACTTCCCAAGTCGCCAAAGAGCATGAGAAAGGCTTCAACACTACCAAAGGTGAGACCTACAAGTTGCTTAGGATAAATTTAGTAGAAATGAATGTATGATCTCACTTGATGTCTGTAGTTATTTTACTGCTTTGCAGTTTATAAATGAATATTACCTGATTCTATGACTGCTCACTGATATGGTAAAATAACAATTAACTTTGTATTCTTTCATACTTTAACAGCAGAAAAAAAAAAAGAAGGAAACAGTGTATATTGGAATTACACATTAACTTGTCTGAATTTTCAAGGTACCAATAATAATGGGGAAGCATGGGTGTCATTAGATGAAAGAAAACTTTCAAAATGTTTGTAAAATATGTAATTACTCTATGCAAATATAAAATCTCTTAAATAAGATTTTACTAAATGTTTTCTTAGAACTGTATACTGTATTTAAGATATTATATGATCAACAGTCATAATGAATACATAAAATTTTATCTAATTTATAAATGAAAGAAAAATTTACACACTGAGCATGCAAAACAGTATTTTTATAAAATATGCAAATTTTCTGAACAGTAACCAGCTATTATTTTATCATGAATGTTTAGAGAAATTCATGCAAATGATTAAAGTTGTTTTGCACATTTAACTAAGAATTCTGTAAGAAAATGTTTTTCTACTTATTAGTTTGCATTACAGAGGATATGATATTCAGCAGGAATGCTTGATGTATTATCAGGTGATGCACTGTGTGAGCAGAGAAAGTAATTAATATAGTATCATCATAGCCTAGCTTGTTGAACTAAGTGAAAAACCACCAGGACATAAAAATAAAACTCTGGTAAAGAGAGATGTATATTTCCGCCTTGGTCAGAAGTCCTCTTCAGTATAGCTGACTGATGTTTGATATCACGTAGCTGCTTCATCAGTGGCATGGGAAAGTAATAGGAAAAATAAGCAACAAACGTATGTAGCTCTAGCTGAGGCTGTAGGCTCACAGAGCTCATGGTCTAAGCCATGAACCATAAGCATTTGAGTGCCATTTCATGCATAAAATTATTATATTACTTTTATATGATTTGATTCCTGTTTGTTTCTAGCTGTTTTTCTGTGCCACCAATGAAACTGCCTTAGCGATTGCAGAAAGCTCTTGCAGAGAAGTTACTTTTTTTTTTTTGAAGGTGTTTTGGTATTCAGTTTAACGAGGTGTGTGAATTTTTAGGATCGAGAGAATTAATGTTAAAAGCGTTTGTGTTATACGAGGGACAGGTGTAATGGGCAACTACCACCATGTTTGTGATGGGAAAATACAAGCATCACAAATTTTTAGTTTATCAAGTTAATGGAAATAGATTCAAGCACTACAGTGTACTGAGATATGATTTTTCTCTTCATCTAAATTATCTAAAAGTTTTTCCCTGGCATAGATGTTACGCTTGAGGCCGGGAAGCCAAAGAGTGAAGCATCGACCCAGACCAATGACCATCTGTTTTGGGCAAGATGTAGAATTTTGCAGGCCAGTTACTGAAGCTTCACTAGGGGTACAGCAAAAGGGATTTATAAGAAGAAGAGAGAGTTTTACACATGGATCAGTAAAAGAGAGTTCCATTCACTCGTATTCATCAGGGATGTACATTTTGGGGCCACAGATCGTTCAAAACTTTCAGCTTTTGAATATACACGTGAGAAAGTCAGCACAAGTAAGTGTTCAGTAAATCTGTTTCTTCCCTCACAAGCTACAATGGATGTTGGGATATCCTCTCACTGATGCACTGCCAAGGCTATAGCAGCACTCAACTCATTCTCTGTGTCATGCATCGGAAATATTACTGGCTTCAGGAAAGCCAGCACCAAGACATACTTGTCAACGTATGAAGCAAACCAGATTTTTAAAACTTTGGTATATTTTTTCACAACATTTTGCTTGCCAAAAAAAATCATTGCTTTTGCTTTAAGCCCCATGACGAATAATCTCTTTTGTTGACAAAACTTGGACTCAGGATTTTATTATTTTAAATCCACCTTACATTTGTGTAGAAAAAGATTGCTGATTTGTTGAAATTATTATTTTTCCAAGAGCAATATTTTTATTAAGGAATCAGAGATTTATGACTAATAGATTAGAAAGTTTCCGCAGATCATTATATTCAGGTGTGTAAAGAGACAATATTGCTGAACAGTAGATAAAGAGTCACTCGTAGAAAGAACTCTCCTGCTGCACAGCAGACTTTACAAACGTTTTTATGATCTTTTGGGAAATGAAATATCATCTAGCATTAATAATAAAAATTAAAATCTCAATTTTATTTAAAAAATGTACGTAAATATTGCAATATTGTGTTTATTGGTATGCTTTTTTTTATATTTTTGAAAAAGCCCAGGGTATTTTAAAAACATATTAATATTTTCTGCTTTTTTTTTCTCATGAAGGACTGCTCTGTTATTTTCATCATATAATGAGTGATGACTTAGCTTTTACACCTGTGTAAATACCAATTCTAACTTTCATATTACAGTGCTCATTTTTCACGTGTAATTTACACTTACAAATAAGCTCTCAGCACAGTTTTGCTTTATTGATATTTATTGCTCACTACAACTTGACTCTTGGCCCTTCACTCAAGCTGTGTTGAAACTCTATAATTTGATAACACATCTAAACTTCATGTATTAACCATAAAATGTTTGAAAATTTGGTGTATTTGATATTGGTATACTTTTAACAGTTTTTTTAACTTTTTCTAAAGTGACAAGGTCTTAGTTGCTGTAATGATTTAATTCCATTTGTGTGGGATGAGCTGGGTTTTTATGCAAATAAATTTTGCAAGTTAAGAGCTGTTATCCTACCTCAGCTTATTTCAAAGCCCAGCTCTGTCTAAGGTATACTATGACCCCATTTCCCCAGGATGCAAACTGTAACAGTCAGCTAACACCCAGGCACCTATTTACTGCTAGGTGAACAGCAGCAGCAGGTGTAAGGAAATATGCCCAATGTTTCCACACATACTGGGATCACTGTATTAGTCAGGTAGGCAGTAGTCAATGTATTAGTCACTTAAGGTGACCATTAGGGGTATCTAATGATGGTGCCGCTCCTGGCTTGAGCCATCAGTGGTGGAAACATACTAAGTGCCCTGGACAATCACTGCAGAGCCAAATGACAGCACCAACCCTGGTTGTAGCTAATAATTGTCTTCATAGCTGTTTTAAAAATTGCTACCATAGCCAGATCAAAATAATAGGCTGTTTTCCCACTTAGACTGGATGACCTGCAGAAGGAAAACATGACGACTGTTACTCATTCCTCAGGTGTCTTTCCAGAAGACATGGACATCACAGTTACAGCAATCCACTGAGATGCAACACCATCTCAAAAGTTTATGGTCACCCCAAATTGGAAATTTGATCTAGACAATGTGTTGCTTATGCAACAAGTTTTTCCAAGTGTGATAAATTATACCTGGTTGTACCTGATGGTAGCACAATTTTTAAGCAGAAGAAAAGAGGATAATTTTTTCTTTTTTGTCAAACTGGCCATATCCCACTGAGGCAAGGTGACCTGAAAAGAAAAACAAAAGTTTCTCTTTTTAACATTAGTAATGTATACAGGAGAAAGGGTTACTAGCCCCCTTACTCCTGGCATTTTAGGTGCCTCTTATAACACGCATGGCTTACGGAGGAAGAATTCTGTTCCACTTTCCCATGGAAAAGGAGCATAATATGCTAACATAATAAAATAAATAAATATTTGAGAGACACTGCATGAAATGCTGAAACACATTTCATAATGTAAGTTAGGGCAAAATTGGACTTAGAAGCAGAAGTGTTGCTCCTGTACCAATACATTGAGTGACCTCACAAGTCAAGGTGATCATTAATTTCACAGTCTCCTTGTGTATCAGCACACACATGTAACTAAAATACTGAAGATAAAATTCAAGGCTGACAAAGTGAAGAGGTACGCATCACAAAGATTGAACACACTCGTTAGTTTATAGCCATATCTCACTGAGGCAGGGTGGTCCAAAAGAAAAAGGAAAGTAAAAAGAGATGATATGGGAAAATATATAAAGATTTTATAGCATTAACAAAAAGAACAAGATACCTCAGTTGTAATGTGAGAAAAAAAAGCAGCACCCCAAAAAAGACTAGATAAAATTTTCTTACATATAATAGCAGACTGATGGAATGAGATCCATGAGGCGAGAACATGTGCTATACCTCTGGAAATTTAATAATTTATATGATAAAATTGAATAGCGAGGATGGGATATCATAATCATAGTCCTGCTCCTCTAATTACAAATAGGTAGTCACATAAACACGCTTAAATTCACTAATTTGCTCATGTCGACAGCTTGGTGATAGCGGGGATTCACCGGAGTGGACGAGCGATGCGGAAGCAGCCCGGGCTAAGAGAGGCCACGTCCTCAAAGAACTACTGGATACTGAGAGGGTCTATGTTTCTGAACTCTGCTCGATACTTAAGGTGAGGCGAATACTGCACTAGAAGCACATTGTCATTTTTATTATGGAAGCACTTAACCCAGAGGGGTCATATATATCACCTGGGGAATGAGAAATAATCACATTTGATCCAAGGAAGGGGAGGGTAGCTCCAGTGTCTTAGATCAAAGTGAATTTCTTCAAAAGTAGGGGCACATGAAAGCATTTGTGTGTTAAATATGACAAAAAACTTTAGTAAAATATTAAAATTTATAATTGGCAATCTGTTGACTGCTTACTTTTTTATACCTAAAAACACAAACACTGATTTCAATTTTTCCACATCTTAAATAGGGGTACAAAGACGAGATGCTGAACCCAGAGATGCAGCCTCTGATCCCAATCAACCTGTATGGTAAGAGTGATCTCCTCTTTGGTAATATGGAGGAGATCTTCCGCTTCCATAATGATGTCTTCCTACGGGATCTGGAGAACTGCATCAACACCCCGGAGCTCATTGGTCTTTGCTTTGTTCAGAGGGTAAGTCCTTCTACATTTTTATCCATTCTTGGCATGATCTATTTCTAAACTTCTTAAATGGTGAAGTACAGTACGTACTTTAGATTTTTTTAACACAGCCATTCCCAACAAAGTAGGGTGAATTGGAAAAGGAAATACCTTAACCATCACTTTATTGCTGCCTTGCCATAAGTGCACAGGGTCCAAGAATTTGTGGATTTTAAATATAACAATTTGAGCTACTAGTGGTGACTTGGTGGAGCAATTTTCAGTTATGAGATTGCTAAGCTCAGTGGTGCTGTGATAACATCATCATCGCTTGTGATAATAAAAATAGTTGTCCTTGATATTGCACCATCTAATCATGTTAGTGTAAATAATTGAAACTTCGTACAACCATGTAAAATTGCCTGCTTTGCCAAGTGATGGCTGGGAAATCAAGGCAGTCAGTCTTGCTTGCAGATGGATGTTGGTGTCTACATTATTTCTTTCATCAATTTTTAAATTTTATAGTCCTTTTCTTCCTCTGAATCATTTACTGAGGAATCCAAGTCTGGGGATGAAATCAGTAACATTACTCCCTATCTATTATGGTAAGCATTAGGATGCCTGAATTGCATTGCATAATTAGTGGGTTTGTTTTGTGCCTACCATTCTTTTATTACATATAAACTACATGAAGGGATTCTGGGAAACTGGTTAGCCATACTTGAGTCCTGGAGGTGGAAAGTACAGTGTCTGCACTCTTAACCCTTTCAGGGTCCGTCCCGTAGATCTACGGCTTTACGTTCAGGGTCCAAACCGTAGATCTACGCCATGAGCTCAGCTCACTCTGATAAACTGTGAGTGGTACATTTGGGCCTAGATATGAGAGAATACATCTATGTGGTATGTGTGCACCACATAAAACAGATCCTGCAGCACACTGTGTATAATGAGAGAAAAAAAATGAAATCATGATTTTTCGATTAAAACAGCAACTTTGCAGTGTTTTTTCGTATGTTTTTTATAGTTGTATTTGCGATTTCTTGGTCTCATTTGATAGAATGGAAGACATATTACAGAAATAGAGATGATTTTTGATTGGTTTTAGCAGTGGAAATGGCTTGAAACTGAGCTCAAAGTAGCAGAAATGTTAAATTTTTGCCGATATTCAAGAGTAAACAAACGACCTCACACGTCTAATACACACCAGCTGGTGGGTCTAATATACATTCACAAATATGGTGATGATATTTATACAATTATTACAGTATTGCATAACAGTAAATCTTCTATTTTTTGGTGTGAATAAAAATTCATTATGTGAATAAAAAATCAAAATGGAATTTATTTGTAAAGCCTCAAAACATAACTAATGAACAGAGGAAATGTTAGTTTAGTGCCAGGAATGCCTACATTGTTCATTCTGGACCCTATTTTGAAATTGGAATATTTTGAACTTTGTGTTAAATTGGCCAAATTAACAATTTCCGATCACTTTATTTTGTAGTTGAAACAGTTGACTTGGCGATTTCTTGTGCTCAATCGATAGAATAGAAGTAATACTAGTGAAATAGCTAAGAATTTGGTTGATTGGAATAATGTAATTGGCCTAAAATGGGAGTCAAAGTCGGCAAAATCGCCAATTCGTAAATATCGCTGACACATCAAAATTCGCGAGAGCATAATTTCGTCAATTTTCCACCAAATTTCGTACTTTTTGTTTTATTACCTTCACAAAAAGATTCTCTATGATTTCATAAGAAAAAATAACAAATTTTTTTTTTGAAAATTCTTGGACACTGGTGCGTGACTCCAGATTTGGGCCTTGGACCCTGAAAGGGTTAAGGATAGGTGGAGATATTTGCAGTTTTGAACTGTAGTATCGGCTCCCCTCTGGCAAGGCAGTGATGCAGTGAGTGATAGTGAAAGTGTTTCTTCTATTTTTGGATCGCCCTGCCTTGGTGGGAGACAGCCAATGTGTTTAACAAAAAAATACATTATTTGTACTGCATAAAGAAATAAAAATTGTAAGTTAGGTTTGCTTTGAATGCCCTTTTTCTTCAGGAAGACATTCCCTTCTGTTTTCAGATATGAAAAAGTGATCTATATATAGTGTTCTGTGGTAATACTTTAAAAGTATTCTTTGGTAATGTTATGAAGTACAGTGGACCCCCGCATAGCGAACTTAATCCGTGCAAGAGGGCTGGTCGTTATGCGAAATGTTCGCTATGCGAATTAATTTTCCCCATAAGAAATAATGGAAATAAAATTAATCCGTGCAAGACACCCAAAAGTATGAAAAAAAAATTTTTTTACCACAAAAAAATGTTAATTTTAGTACACACAAACTGAAAAAGGCATGCACAATTACATGACACTTACTTTTATTGAAGATCTGGTGATGATTGATGGGATGGGAGGAGGGGAGAGAGAGTGTTAGTGTTTAGAAGGGGAATCCCCTTCCATTAACACTTGAGGAGGCAAGTCCTTTTCCGGGGTTACTTCCCTTCTTCTTTTAATGCCACTAGGACCAGCTTCAGAGTCACTGGACTTCTTTCTGTCCATAGAGCTCTGTACCTCCCGTTCCTTTACGATTTGTCTAAAATGGGCCATAACATTGTCATTGAAATAGTCACCAGCACGCCTTGCAACAGCTGTGTCAGGGTGATTTTCATCCATAAAGGTTTGCAGTTCAACCCACTGTGCACACATTTCCTTAATTTTTGAAGTAGGCACAATGGATTCCACAACTGGCATAGGCTTCTCAGGGTTAGCCCCAAACCCTTCAAAATCTTTCTTAATTTCCATACTAATTCTCACCCTTTTTACCACAGGGTTGGCACTAGAAGCTTTCTTGGGGCCCATGGTCACTTATTTTCAACAAACAGAACCGAAAACACTGTAATAATACGAAATATTCCGAGTGTATGCTTGAATGTTACCGCGGAGGCTAGCTGGTAAACAATGGGACAGGCGGCACATGTGAGGCTGGCTGAGGCCGCACATTGGACGCGTCTCGGACGAAGTTCGCTGAGCGGGTTTTTGTCTACTATGCGGGGCAAAATTTTAGCGATCAAAGCGTTCGCTATGCGGAATGTTCGCTATGCAAGGCGTTCGCTATGCGGGGGTCCACTGTATAGTAGGGCCCCACTTATACGGCAGGTTAGGTTCCAGGCTACTGCCTTAAAGTGGAAATCTCCTTAAAGTGGAATGCCACTTTTTCCACTTATAAATGCCAGACAACAATATTAAGTTAGTAATAGAACTAGGCATTAAAAACACAATAACAAGTAAAATACACACACAGTACACCCATTCCTTACTTTAAAATATTTGTAGTCTTAATGTAAGGTGAGAGGTGAGTCGTGTTTATTTGTAAGAAGTCATGTGCGGGAAGTATGGTAGCCACCAACAGCAGCCCACCCCACCCCATGCACACATACTATACGACATTTGAAGCGTCCCAGAGCAATAAAATACATATACAGTACATTCATTAATTACCTTAAAATATTTGTAGTCTTAATGCAGGATGAGAGGCGAGTCGTATTTATTTGTAAGAAGTAGGGTGTGGGAAGTATGGTACCCAGCCAAGGCAACCCACCCCACTCAACACCACCCCATCCACACGTAATGTAAACAAACAGACGTGTCTGCTTTTGGTTGATACACATTCATTCCCATGTCTGTGAATCTTACACTATAATACAAACACAATGTACAAGTTGTCTCCATGTTGATCTTTCTTTCAACACACCAGCCGTATCCCACCGAAGCGGGGTGGCCCAAAAGGAAAAACAAAAGTTTCTCCTTTTACATATAGTAATATATACAGGAGAAGGGGTTACTAGCCCCTTGCTCCTGGCATTTTAGTCACCTCCTACAACATGCATGGCTTATGGAGGAAGAATTCTGATCCACTTCCCCATGGAGATAACAGGAAATAAACAAGAACAAGAACTAGTAAGAAAATAGAAGAAAACCCAGAGGGGTATGTGTACACATGTATACAGTGGACCCCCGGTTAACGATATTTTTTCACTCCAGAAGTATGTTCAGGTGCCAGTACTGACCGAATTTGTTCCCATAAGGAATATTGTGAAGTAGATTAGTCCATTTCAGACCCCCAAACATACACGTACAAACGCACTTACATAAATACACTTACATAATTGGTCGCATTCGGAGGTGATCGTTATGCGGGGGTCCACTGTATATATATATATATATATGCTTGTACATGTATGTGTAGTGTGACCTAAGTGTAAGAAGAAGTATTAAGACATACCTGAAATCTTGCATGTTTATGAGACAGAAAAAAGACACCAGCAATCCTACCATCATGTAAAACAATTACAGGTTTCCGTTTTACGCTCACTTGGCAGGACGGTAGTACCTCCCTGGGTGGTTGCTGTCTACCAACCTACTACCTAGGCTCCATGTTGATACAATAGAATAAATAAAGAGGAACACTCCCATTCTCATGTAACACCATTTTTAGAAGAAGTGACACTCTGAGTGAAGGCATACGAAAGGAATAATTTTCTAGTTACCCCCAGTAATATTATAGCGTACACATTTTCTCAAATGTTGGACTAGAGAAAATGTTTTTCTTGCCATCCTTCCTACAAGTTGCCTGGCTACCACATCTCATATTTGTTAATTTATTCTACTGTGGGGTGAATTTATCATGTTTATATGTTATGTAGCATTTTTATTATATAATTTTGAAAAAAATGTCATAGATGGATTAATGGAAATGTCTATATTAACATAATATACAACATTTAATGTGCCCAAGAGATTATCATTATTATGGCGTCAAGAGTAGAGAGACTCTTAGTGATTTTAATGTGTACCTGCATACCAGCACATTGTCTAAGTATATTTAGGTACAGGTACACACAAGTATAATTATCAGAGTACATATAAAATATGCAATAACTTTAAAACACTTGAAATTTTGGAAAGTTTCCAGACATAATAGAGAGATGTGGGGTGGGACACGCCGTATAAGAAAGATGGGTTGCCGTATAGCAAGTTTTGGTCATAGTCTGAAATCGCCATATTAGTGGAATGATGTAAGGCAAAGCTCTGTAAAGCAGGGCCCTGCTGTATACTGTATTTTCTGCATTGCAGAAAGATTCATTCCATCGGCTGTACTCACTGTACTGCCAAAACAAGCCCCAGAGTGAAGAGCTGCGACGGCAGGTATGCGACAGTAACCCGTTCTTCAAGGAATGTCAGCGGCGTCTTCACCACAAGCTACCTCTTGGTGCCTACCTTCTGAAGCCTGTGCAGCGTATCACAAAGTACCAACTCCTTCTGAAGGTTAGGCGGTCCCTTTGACTTGATTTGTTTTCTTTGTTTTGTACAGTGTAACTTTCTTTGTCAAATGTATTTGTTGAGCAGCTGAAGGCAGCAATAAGAACTGTAATACCCCAGTCATGGAAAGAAGTCTCCCTTTAGGAGTAAGGAAGAAAAAATGTTTGGAAATCAGTAATCATACAAATTAAAGAAACTGTGTGGATATTAAAACAAGCAGTGAAAGACATTAAATGTAATACATTAAATGTAATACTGTACTATGAATGCATGAATGTTTACCAGCATTCATCTAGAGCCTGGGTATTCTACATGTGGAATGTGGGCAGAATGTGGCTTACTTGATCATGCATTGTGGTCGGCTTCAGATTTTTTTGCAGTTTTTTTCTATTATGCTAATACACATGATCTACTGTTTGTTTTTGTACTAAGTCTTATCTTACTACTAAAATTCTTAGTTTTTCAATAACTAACAGGCACTACATCATCGTTATTGAGAAGTTCATATATGGTCTGCCCATATTTCTGCTCAAGGGACTTATTATTAGGCTCATACTTAGCTTTTGAAGAGTGTGAGGACATGAACAATGAGTGTACTGTTGAATATTTTTTTATCCATCCACACTGTATTTAGTAAATTCTAAAGAATAAGAGGATGGAGGAAATTGGAAATATCAGACTATACACTGTGAGAACCTCCAATATTCCCTCAAGACCACATTAATGTTCTGTAATTTCTTCAAGACTTTACTTAAGGACTAGAAACACGTCATTAGTCTTTAAGCAATACAATTAGTCTGCCCAAAATGCTTGTTAGTGGCTTTTTGTGCCTAACAATATTTTATTACATGAAAACTACATTATCTGTATACTGCAGAAAAGAAATTGCATATTTGTATTTTTGGTTGTCTAAATTCATCGGAGGAGTTCTCTTAGCTATATTTGTCATCACATATGTTTTATATTTTCTGTGGATATAAGGTAAAGTATTTTATGTACTTATAATTTTAACTTACTATTTCGTTTTATAGGATTTGCTGAAATGTGTGGAGGGTAGTCAAGGGCGGCGGGAACTCCAGGAAGCGGTTGACACAATGCTCACGGTTCTCAAGTGCCTCAATGACTCCATGCATCAGGTTGCCATTGTGGGCTTCCCAGTAAGTTCTTTTTATTATTATTATAATCAGAACTCAGTGCTAAACTCGCCAGGGTCATACAGCACTGCAGGGTAGGATGTGCCAAAGATGTACTATGTCAGGTCAGAGACTAACGAAGGTGAAGAATATGCCAGAGGTAGAATCAGTAAGGGTGGTGAGGAGTGCTGAAGGGAAAGTAAAAGTAAAGTCAGTATTGGTTTCTTTGATGAGCTTTTCATTATGCTTGCATGGTAGTTTAATATATCTTCATTATGCATCCCGTACCCATGGTGTGGGCAGTAGTTACAAGATTACAGAGGCACATAATGGGTCCAGGAACTTAGCTGCAAAGTTTTGATAGCTAAGCAAATTACAGCACTTAGTAATGAACTATTTACATGTTTCTATTTGGTTACAATCATGAGTTGTTTATGAAGATATGAATTAAGTCACAAAAATATTACCTTATGATAATTTTAGTAAAATATGCTTGTAAAAAGTTTAAGGGGTTATGCATTATTTACAGTGGGCAAAGTTAGAGTATTTTTCCAGAATGGTTGGTAAAATGCCACTGTGCATTAAATTCTTGAGCATGAGTGAGTTGTCTCTGAATTCATTAATTTTATCACATTCCAGTACATAATAATCCAAGGTGTGACATTTGCCTTCAGTTATCATTTTTGAAAAGTCATGATTAATCTCGACATTATTATTATTATTTGCAAACAGTGCACTAAATCTATACATGTCATACAGTAATGTGTGATGGAAGGGTGCTGATGTCAAGGAATTGAAGTATGAAGGTTTAACGTGTGCTATGATGAGCCACGAAGCAGGTGGGTCTTGAACCCATGGCAAGTGAGTTCAAGTCCCACCCATTCTGCGATTTGCTTGCAATTGTGTTATTACAATTTTGTGAATCTTGGGCTAAGAAGGAAAGTTAAAGTTTGCTGAAGTCAGTTTCAAATAAAAGATGATAATATGCTTATGTTGAAGGTGGGAATTTCCCAAAGAGCAAGCAGTTAGAAAGCTATTAAATTACTGAAATTATCATGGGAAAGCATTAAACCCCTAGGGGCCAAACAGCCTTTCATGGCATGGGAAGCAATTGGGTATGACCCATTGAAGGGAAAGGGAGAGTAGCTCTTATTTCTTGGACCAAGGGCCCTTCATAAACATGAAGGCACACATTTTCAAGGTGAAGCTTTATTGAAGTCAAATGCATTTTTCAACTCCAAGCAAAAATAGAGTGAATCAAGTTGTCTCTAAGCCTGACGTCTTGCATTTTATTCCAGGGTAACTTGGCAGACCTTGGTAAGTTGCTCATGCAGGGACCTTTCAGTGTGTGGAATGAAAGTAAGAAAGGACTGAGAGAGTTGCGGCTCAAACCTGCTCAGAGACACATTTTCCTCTATGAGAAGGTGTTACTCTTCACTAAAAGGGCTGGAAAAGACACAGATCGTGCTACATATCACTTCAAAAATGCTCTTAAGGTATAGTGGCCAGTGGTTTCTTTTTGGTAATTATATCCAGTTAGATTTTAACATTATAAAAGGATTTATTTAAAGGTGGTGAATGTATTCAGATATTTGGGAGTGGACGTGTCAGCGGATGGGTCTATGAAAGATGAGGTGAATCATAGAATTGACGAGGGGAAAAGGGTGAGCGGTGCACTTAGGAGTCTGTGGAGACAAAGAACTTTGTTCTTGGAGGCAAAGAGGGGAATTATGAGAGTATAGTTTTACCAATGCTCTTTTATGGGTGTGAAGCATGGGTGATGAATGTTGCAGCGAGGAGAAGGCTGGAGGCAGTGGAGATGTCATTTCTGAGAGCAATGTGTGGTGTGAATGTAATGCAGAGAATTCGTAGTTTGGAAGTTAGGAGGAGGTACGGGATTACCAAAACTGTTGTCCAGAGGGCTGAGGAAGGGTTGTTGAGGTGGTTTGGACATGTAGAGAGAATGGAGCGAAACAGGATGACTTCAAGAGTGTATCAGTCTGTAGTGGAAGGAAGGCGGGGTAGGGGTCAGCCTAGGAAAGGTTGGAGTTAGGGGGTAAAGGAGGTTTTGTGCGTGAGGGGCTTGGACTTCCAGCAGGCATGCGTGAGCATGTTTGATAGGAGTGAATGGAGACAAATGGTTTTTAATACTTGACATGCTGTTGGAGTGTGAGCAAAGTAACATTTATGAAGGGATTCAGGGAAACCGGCAGGCCGGACTTGAGTCCTGGAGATGGGAAGTACAGTGCCTGCACTCTGAAGGAGGGGTGTTAATGTTGCAGTTTAAAAACTGTAGTGTAAAGCACCCTTCTGGCAAGACAGTGATGGAGTGAATGATGGTGAAGTTTTTCTTTTTCGGGCCACCCTGCCTTGGTGGGAATCGGCCAGTGTGTTAATAATAAATAAATTATTTAAATCTCTCATTAGATTCTTTTACATATTTTACTGAAAGATTCCTGATATATTAATTGATATTAGTAAGGCTAATATGGTAAGATATGAATAAGCTATGAAAGAAATAAAACTTCTTTTCTTTCCCAAATAATAGATGTCACAAGTAGGGCTAACGGAGAGCGTGCGTGGCAATAAGGGTGATGTACGGAAGTTTGAGGTGTGGCTCCAAGGAAGACAGGAAGTTCACATTATCCTTGCGCCATCTGTCGAAGTAAAGGAAACGTGGGTGAAAGAAATTAAACGAGTTCTACTCGACCAATTTGAGTACCTGAAAGGCGAGAATATTAAGCAGTATTCCTCAAGGATTCAGAAGGGTGCAAGTCTGAATGGCATCAGAATCCCCCCTCTGTCACCCACGACTCAGCATAGGCAAGTGATTTTATGAATTATTGAACCATTTTGAGTATAATGTTTTGATTTTATAGCATATGATGAATATTAAATACTGTAATGAGTTACTCCCTAAGTTACATTAATAAATACATATACAATTTGTCTTGTGATTATCCACAAAACAGAAGATCATTGAATCAGTTTGAAATAATAAATCATACTTTTAAAACTAACATTTGTTCATTAACTACCTTTCTTATTGTACATATGATTGTAGTTAACTGCATAAAAAATCCTACCTAATAGTCTATTTTTTCCAGTAGTCTTTAAGCATTAGGATTAGTTTGCCCGAAATGTATTGCATACTAGTGGCTTTTTGTGCCTAATAATGTTTTATTACATGTAAATTACATTATTTTTGTACCACATAAAAATTTGTATTTGTATCTATAGAGCTCTGAGACAAACAGCATCATGGGATATGGCTGGGAACGGGATGAGTGGCAGCGGTGGTTCTATCAGCTCTAGCAGTTCTGAGGGTCGGCAAGGGGAGAGCAGCAAGGAGAGTGGGCGTCGCTCTTCACGTATGATGAGATCGGTAGATGCTACCCTTGGTGATGCCCCGGAAGAGGAAGAGGAAAGCTGGTCATCAGATTACTCAGCCTCAGATGAGGAGGAAGATCAGGAAACTTTTTCGGAGAGCACTGAGGTGATTAATATAATGATACGATGTTGGTAGATATCTGTGTATTTTTACAGTGTTAGCCCTTTTTTTAAATATAGGTATGTAAATATTAAAGGTTTTCTTATTTTAAATGTGAATGATGGTGAAAGTAATCTTTTTTGGGCCATCCTGCCTCGGTGGGAGGCGGCCAGCATGTTAAAAAAAAGTAAATTGTGAGTAAAATATTAAAATTGTTCTTATAGAAAATGCATAAAATGAAGATTGTAAAAATGAAAGGAAAATCATAAAACAAATATTGTACTGTTTATGTATAGAGAAGGGAAGTTACATCATATTTCAAATAATTTTGGGAAATTTATGAGAAGTGTTGAGCTAAAAATTATGACAGTGTTAAAAGTAAAAATAATAAAATGAGAATATCACAATATCATGAAAGTATTAGAAAATGATAAGAATCCTCTAACATAATAAATAAGCATTAATCTGAAATTGCTTAAAGCTTGATCCTTTCTTCTATTCTATTTTCATATGCTAATAAGCTGGTTTAGTTTCTTTAAAATGTGGAAGGTTACACTTTACACCCTAATATTAGTTAATGAAGACTTTTTCTCAGTACACATCGTCAAGGTTCCTGGTATTAGCTGACTACAATGCCATGGGTGGATCAGAGGTTAGCCTACGAGAAGGGGATTATGTTGACTTGATCAAAGTGGGATGCGCTGGCTGGTGGTACGTGCGAGTCTCCGGGACTCCCTATGAGGGGTGGGCTCCGGCTGCCTACCTTGAGCGGGTTCTTAAGAAGGGCAGCAGGTCCTCTCCTTCGGTCAGCAGCCAAGAGTCTTCTTCAGGTCTCAAGCACGCCACATCAAGGTTCGTCAGTGAAGGATTTGACCTTGTATAGTATGGGGGGAAATACTGTTAATGGAAAATAATGTAAATATAAATGCAGAATATACACAGATCATTGGTTATCTGAACTCTGATTCCCAGAATTGGTTTGCATAATTTTGTACAGTGGTACCTAGAGTTTCGAACAGCTCCCAACTCGAACAGTTATATAAGTGCTTTTTTTAAGCGTATTTTGGGGGTCTGAAATGGACTAATCTAATTTACATTATTCCTTATGGGAACAAATTTGTTCGGTATCGGCACTGGAACGAATTAAGTTTATAACTCTAAGTACCACTGTAGTCCCTTTTGTTTTGCATACATTTTTTTTCATTATCTGTACTATTTGAATTGAACAAGACTGCCAGATTATGTTAGAAACTGAATAACCAGTTGTTTGATAATTGGTGATCTACTGTTGATATTGTAAAGAATGGGAAAAATTTAATGAAAGAGGAGAGAATGAGTTTTGGATAGGAGATTAAGAAAAGAACAAGATAAAAAAAAAAAAGAAAGAAGAAATGGGATAACAAGACACAGACATAATGGGTAGTGAATCAAAAGCAAGGTGAAAAGAGAAAGAGGACTGAAATGTTAAGGAGACTAGATGGAGCTGTAAGCATAGGGAGAACAAAATAGAGAAAAAAATTTGGCTACGAAAGAATGAAAATTTTAAAAAAAAGGGGGGGAGGTAAATAAAAAAAATAAAAGAGGAAGGAAATAAATATCGTCAACTTTAGTGGCATAATGCTGGCCACTTTATTGCTGTTACAATAAATGACATGTGCATTTTTTTCATATATTTTTTTTTTTCAGATCATCTGTTGCATCCCTATCTACAAAATCTGAGGAAGTGAACATACTGTAAATCGATCTGTAAATAGCATATTATACTACCTTATGGCAATTAAAACCCATGCATACTCAAATTTGTGGTGTTTTAACAAAATATAAATCCAATTAATTGTACATAGTCCCTAGGAGGAATTGTTGCTGCAAATTTTTGTTGTGCCTGTTTGAGTGTTGAAATAAAGTAATTGAAATTGTATCAATACATGTGCCTGGATTATCAGGACTGCGCTTTGATATATTTAGGTCGTAATCGGAACCTTTGTGGGCATGTCAACAGCACAAATAATGACAATAATAGTGATGGTACTCTGAACTCAAGACTGTCGAATGCAGTGAGAACTTCTTCCTTTTGTCAGTTATAATACAAGTGGTAGGCAGGATACTTACAAATTCATGGACTTCCATACCTATAATTATCATATTTAGTAAAATGTCAATATTATATAGTAATAATCTTTCCACCTTCCAGTTCTTTCCAAAGTTCTTAACATATTCTGTAATTGATAAACTAAAAAATATATATTATAATATGTATGTATGTAATAAGATCAGTCATCAGGTGATATCACAATATTCAAAATAACCACAATGAAAAAATTGTTAAATCCCAAGCACTTTTGTGATTTGTCACATTATCAATGTGAGATAATGTGACAAGTTATGAAAGCTCTTGAAATTTCACTATTTTTTTCACTGTTTATTTTACTTGTGTGCATATGTATGTATGTGTGAATAGATGTATGTATGAATGTGCATAAAAGATAATAACAGAAGCAGATGATATCAGTTATGCAGGATAAGCCATTAAGTTCTGTGCCATTAGGTTCTATTCTGTAAGCCTCTACTTGTAGCTCACACCCCTTAGCTCTGGAACTGACTTAATTGTATACCTCTATACTTTCTTTAGCTTCTTAATATGCTTTTTCAGGTGTGGGTTCCATGCTGGTGCTTTGAGCTCCATGAGGGGCTTGCCATATGTTATATAAAGGTCCTCTTAAGTTCTTTTTGACCAGTCATCAGAGTGTGAGGCAATATTAGAAGTACAGTACATATATGGGTTGAGTGCATATCTGAAGGGATTTGAGGAATGTTGGGATGTCAGTGGCTTGGCATTTTCTTGTCATTAAAATTTTTATTCGGTGTTGAAGAATGCGAGCACTTGTATTATTGCCTATAAAAAAAATTGCACCATTTTCACTTAAGAGGCTGTATTTATAGAATTCCCTGCCTAGATTAAGAGTCATATAATTTGTGCCAAATGATTAAGATATCGGAGCTGAAGATCGCACAGCAATATTGTGAAAAGATGGATCAGATTTTTTTAAGACATCAATGATGATCACACAGCAATGTTGTATAAAAATTTATCAGATTTTTTATAACATTGACGATGAGGCTTGCACAGCAGTGCTGTATAAAAATTGAGGAGATTTTTAGTGCCTTTTTTTTTTTTACCATTTAAGCACTGGCTTATGCCGAGTAAACTGTCCTTCAACAAAGTTTCTTTTATTTGCATATAATTTCATAGAAAGAATTACTGTACTGGTGTTGAAATCATGTTTGAATAAAGATGGGAAAAGACATTAGACTTGTCTCCTGGATATTTTTGGTTCATTTCGCTCATATCTCAAAGTCTACAGAAATTTCGCAAGATTTCGAGATATATTGGTGGTACCAAAGGCCATCATGATTTTCTTCATATATATCAAAAGATATACATTTTGCTTAATTTGTCTTGTGAATATATTAATTTATTCTTTAAATGTTCCAGTCATTATGAATTGAATTCGTAAGCCCTAGTTAAAAGTTTTCTATTGTTTCCTTCAGTGTATTACACAAGTTGTAAGTTTAATCCTTGCTTGGATTTTAATTCATTGGTTACAAATTATGGATGTTTCATTCAAAGTATGTCTTGATTTTTAGTTTTGTGAATTAGGGTGTAAAACCTAGCTCCAGCAGGCCAATGGATGCTGGAAACTTGAATGGGTCATCTTTTTATGACCTCTTCTCAGGAGACACTTATATTTTGACTATTAAACTATCACCACTTTGATTATGTATAATATTTAAATTGTAAAAGTTTGCCTTATGCATGAGAAATTCCAATCAACTGATGTTAAAACATTGATGAAATTTCTAGCATTTTAAATCCATGACATCACGCGTGTGTTGCTGATGACTCCTTCAGCTGTGCATTTTCATTTTTGCCTCACTGATGGTGATGATGATATGACTCACAAAATCATAATGACACAATTGCAAACAAACCGCAGGTTCAAACCCCACCTGTGGTATAGTTTATGATATTATAATCAAAATGAAGTGCTGAATCTATAAGGACCATACAGCTCAATGATGAACCTACAAGAGTTATACAGCGTAATGATGAACCTACAAGGGGTCATACAGCACATTGATGAAACTACAAGTCATATAGCACATTGATGAAATTACAAGGATCATACAGCTCATTGATGATGAGCATATGGTTGAAAGTACTTGAAGGACCTTTTGATTGTGCGAGTGTGTGAATGTATCAATGTATCTGCGTATATGAAGTTTAGTCTTAGCTCTTGGTCCTGCCTTTCAACTTTCCTGAAGCACTTTCTTTGATTATAATAATCAATTTTGCAGATTCATTTCTTCCTAGCCTCATGGCTCCTGTCATGCCTGCTTTTAAAACTGTAATGAAACCTTCCTACATCACCTCTTCATTGATATCATTCCATTTCTTGACCACCCTAAGTTTGAAGAAATACTTCCTGACATCCCTATAACTCGGGTTCACAACTTTTTCTCTGCCACGCACCCCTAGGAAATTTTTAATTAATGTTGCACCCGCTACAAACAGCCTATCCCTGTCTACCCTATCAATTCCTCTGAGTATGTAACTATGTCTTCCTGGTTCTCTCACTGCCATTAGGTTCTGTTCTGTAAGCCTCTACTTTTAGCTCACACCCCTTAGCTCTAGAACTGACTTCATTGCATACCTCTATACTTTCTTCAGTTTCTTAATATGCTTTTTAAGGTGTGGGTTCCATGCTGGCACTTTGAACTCCAAGAGGGGCCTGCCATATGTTATATAAAGAGCCCATAATATGATTGAGATTCATGAAGGCTACTCTTAGATTTGCCAGATGAGCATTGGTTACAGAGGTTATTCAGTGGATGTAAGACTCCAGTTATATGCCAGACACTATGCTCACCCCTAGGTCTTTCTCTGTGGGTGAGCCTTGTAATGTCTGTCCTCAGAATATATTCTTTGTGTTTTGTCTTCTTACTCTTCCATAATCTTCATAATTTGCATTTACTGGGGTTGAATTCAAGCAGTGACTTATATGACCAATCTTTCAGCCTGCCCAAATCCATTTGAAGCTTTTCCCTATCTTCATCTGTTTTTATTCTTATTAGTCTCATATCAGTAGTATGTAATGAGATATACATTTGACTCAATCCCATCTGATATATCAGTCACAAAAACTAGAAACAATATTGGTCCAAATAGCCATCCTTGTGGAACCCCCCCTTATTACTCTTCATCTCTGTGTGCACGGGCGGGTGCATGTGTGCTTGCGTGCATGAGTACCTACATGTGGTTGCAGGGGTTGAGTGTGTGCATGCATACACATGTATTTACATAAACATATGTATACATACATATATGAATAGCCCACATTCAAAAGCACAGAAAAAAAATATTTTTAGTTTGCTGGAGACCCTCATCAGTGGCTGTTAAACAAGTTGGAAGAAAATCTATATATGTATATGTGACCAGATCAGGTGCACTTGAAAGATACACTGCAGAAGGCATACTGACCCAAGCAGGTCCCACTAAAATTCCACCCTTAATTTTTGTCCAACCTTCTTTTAAAGCTCACAAAGGAATTTATTTTAAATGGGCTTTTAGCAGGACCTGCTTGACATGGGTCAGCATGCCTTCTGCAGTGTATCTTTCAATGGTGTACCTGACCTAGTTACATATATACAATTTTTTTTTTTAACATGTTGACCATGTCACACCAAGGCAGGGTGACCCAAAAGAAGGAAAAACCCAAAAAGAAAAAAACTTTCATTATCATTCAACACTTTCACCATCACTCATACATAATTACTGTCTTTGCAGAGGTGCCCAGATACAACAGTTTAAATAGTCACTCCCAAACTACCAATATCCCAAGCCTCTCTTTTAAGGTGCAGGCATTGTACTTCCCATTTCCAAGACTCAAGTCCAGCTAACTGGTTTCCCTGAATCCCTTCACAAAATATTACCCTACTCACACTCCAACAGCTAGTCAGGTCCCAAATGCCATTCGTCTCCATTCACTCCTATCTAACACGCTCATGCACACTTGCTGGAGATTATATGTATATATATATATATATATATATATATATATTATATAATATATATTTTATATATATAATATATATATATTTTATTTTATATATTATTGCAAGGTGCTAGTAACACCTTCTCCTGTATATATTACTAAATTTAAAAAAAGAAAACTTTTGTTTTTCTTTTTGGGTCACTCTGCATTGTGGGATATGGCTGGTTTGTTGAAAGAAGAAAGAAGGAAGATATATATTATTGTAACCACGAACGAGTGGCATTAATCAACAACACTGACTAGCCAAGGATTCGAACCCATGTCATTTTGGCCCACCTCATGGTGAACAAAAATCACACATGATGCTCTAACTCATGGGACCACGCAATCTTAGGGTTGGTGGTCCTGTGGGTTGGAGCGTCATGTGTGATTTTCGCTTACCATGAGGTGGGCCAAAACAACATGGGTTTGAATCCTTGGATAGTCACAGTGTTGTTGATACATACATACATACATACATACATACATACATACATACATACACACACACACACACACACACACACACACACACACACACACACACACACACACACACACACACACACACACGGGGCGGGGCCAGGAGCTGAGTCTCGACCCCTGTAACCACAATTAGGTGAGTACACACCCAGTAGCAACCGGTGAAGAGGCGGGGCCAGGAGCTAAGACTCGACCCCTGCAACCACAAATAGGTGAGTACAAAT